AGGAAAACAATATTCTCCTACCGGAACAGTTTGTGTTCAGGAAGGGGCACTCCAACACTCATCAGCTAGTACGGGTGATGAGCAACATCCGAAGTAACAAGGCTGTATCCAAGTCCACAGCCATGGCATTGCTAAAAGTCGAAAAGGCGCTAGACAATGTCTGACATGACAGACGTATATACGAAGTTTGTAACTTCAATTTACCGTTGCATTTTGGTCAAAATTACCCGTAATGAAAGCAAAGGTCGTTCAAGGTATCATTGAATGGTTGTCTCTCAGATAATTTTTCCATCCCGGCAGGTCAGTTTGTTGGTCTACTTGCTCTACAGCTTGTATACTTCCGATATTCCTTCCCTCGGAGATGGTTGCGTTATCTTCCTGTTCACAGATGAGACCTTTACTGACTATGCAAAAACTTGGAAATTCAAATCAATCAGAAGTAACACTTGCAACACCGTTTATGGAAAATGTAACAAATCCCAGTTGTAGATAAGTTAAATATTGATTGCCCAGAAAACATCTTGTTTAAAACCCGGTGTATTTTTCAGAGTTATCTCTGAGGCTCCTCACCCGTTGCGAAGTAATGAACTCACTGGTGATCGAAAACTTTGAGAAGCTTCTGGAGCTAAATCCTCAAACATGTTTTATGACTTTGCACTACCTATATTTAACACAGGATGTCAGCCCTTCAAGAAATATTCCCAATCGTGTAGTCTTCTCCGATTTCTGAAATTTAGTGAATTTTGATTTATCTATGACGCAGGAAATCCGTGGAATTCCAGAGCATCATCGTCCTATGATTACTCCGTCATTATACTCTGCAAAGTTTGGCCATGTTGATTCTGCAAGAACGTGTTTCACAGATGGATCTCTAATAGAGGAGTCAGCTGGTTTTGGTGTATTTAATGAATTTCATAGCGCCTCTCGAAAACTTGAAGCTCCTTGTTCTGTGTATGTGGCTGAACTGGCAGCAATTCACTACACTTTGGAAACTATTGCTTCACTTCTTCCAGACCACTACTTTATTTTTACGGATAGTCTCAGTTCTGTCGAGGCTATCCGTTCCGTTAGGCCGGTAAAGCACTTCTCGTATTTTCTCTTGAAAATACGAGAGCTGCTTAGTGCTTTATCCGTGCGCTCTTTCATCATCACCTTCGCGTGGGTCCCTTCTAGAGCTGGGCAAAACAGCTCGTCTGGCTGAGTGGATCAAACCTATCCAGTTCACTAAAGGGAGTCGATTCTTTTGATCAGCTCTTCAGCTCACATTGAAATTATAGAAATTATGACACAAATTCAAAACCGGGAAATTAATTAGTGGTTTTAGTGCTTAAGACTGCATAAAATCGTAAAAGTAGCCTAAACCAATAAAACTGTACCTTACAACATGGCTTTACATTTCAATGGAAAACGCCACTAACGCAACACCTGATCAAGCATCGCGTAAACATACATACAGATTTTATTTTTGATCTTAATTCTCCAGCAGAATTTCTCTCACTTCATCAACAGCTCAGAACCGGATCCGGAGCTGAATCGTAAAGAATCGATAGAAAAAAAAGATCCAAAGAGCTGGACGGGTCAGAGAGTTGTCATCCTAGACAGCTCCCAGTGAATCATTCCAGTCGATGATTCAGATCCGGAGCTGAGCTGATAAGCTGGAAAGCTGCATTTCGATTTTCGGTTATTTGCTTTTGTGCGGATCTTCCGCTCCCCCAGAGAATAATGGGAGGAGAGGTGAGAGCACATATACAGGAGGAATAACATCAGCAACAAGAGCCGGGTACATAACTAAATTGGATAATACTAGTAGAAAATTAACATGTATATATGTCTCTTTCTCTCCCAAGCAGCCGCTTGGAAGTTTGCTTTTACCGTTGGTGCTGTCGATCAGTAGGCACATGTTCCGCTATGAGTGATGGATTGAATGGTTTAGACTTGTGACATCAGTGAGCTGATGGTCTGCAGTTCCTAAAAAAAATGAACCGCGGATCATCAGCTCACTTTAGAGAACCGGGTCTATAGAACAGCTCGGGAGCGGATTGCCCATCTCTAGTCCCTTTTCATTGCTCAATTTCGGGCAATGCGAAAGCGGATTCACTTGCGAAGGTGGGCGCTATGGAAGGCGACATTTGTGATCAACAAATCGCCTATAGCGAATTTTTCTCTATTTATCGTCAGCAGTCGCTCGATAGCTGGCAACATCAATGGAGTGAAGGGAGCTTGGGACGATGGCTACATTCAATTATCCCTAAGGTGTCGAAGTTTGCATGGTTCAAAGGGTTGGACTTGGGTCGAGACTTCATACGCGTGATGTCTCGTCTCATGTCCAATCACTATTGTCTAAACGCTCACTTGTTCCGTGTGGGGTTGGGAGACAGCAATCTCTGTGAATGTGGACAAGGTTACCAGGACGCTGATCATATCCTTTGGTCTTGTGCGGAGTATCGTGGAGTCAGATCACATTTTTATGATTCCCTTCGGGCTCGAGGTAGACAACCTAATGTTACAGTTCGGGATATTTTGGCTAGACGCGATCTGGAGTTTATGAAACTCATAAATGTTTACTTTAAGAATATTAACCTTAGATTGTAAGTTTGATTAACCTTGTGTTTAGTTTTAATTTTGTACGTGTGGGTTTCTTTTCTCTCAATGTTTGTTTTCAAGATGAATAGAAATAATTTCATGTTTTAGGATTATTTAAATATTTGTATCGTAAACCACATTTCAAACCTCCTTCTTCCCTTTTCCCATCCAAAAAAATTGTCAATCTCAACTAACCTCGAGACAACCACGAGCACTTGGTCCAGTTCCTTTACCTTTAAATATAAGACAGTAATAATGTATAACGGAAAGGATAACTCGGCTCTGTATAGTTTATTCGATTGAGCCTCTACAAATAAAGTAATTATTAAAAAAACCTGGTGTATTGTTGTTTGTGAAATATTCAACCTTTCTGACAGGCACTTGTTATCTTGAAGTTATAATTCGGTATTACATGACTCAATTACCTGTTTATAACACACTGTTTATAAATTATATTATTTGGTGAAAACTTGCTAGCCTTATATACAACATGTTTTCAAATGTATGTTTTAGAATCATGAGCAAACATGAATACATCCTGAATCTAACTTATTTATAACATGTTATAACAGCTGTATTTCAGTTCTATTCAGGTTTCCAAAAATAACATATGAAAACATGTTGTGTATTAGGCTAGGAAGTTTAATCAAATACAATCAGTTATTAATGTGTTGTAAATAAGAAATTGAGAGTTGCAAAACCGAATTTTAACTTCAATATATGATACAAGTAATGTTCTAGTTTTTCGTGTTATAAACATGTTTTGATAACAAAAATTTCATTTCTAGATGTTTTCTACAAATTGCACTGCAATATGGCTGACCGATGAAGCAACATATAGAATGAAAAAAAAAACTTTCAGTTGTGCTTTCATCATCCCATTGACGTTATGCAGAAGAGAAAAGTATGATAATCAAAAAAAGGTTGAAATTCTGTTTTTATTTTTAAAAATTTAATGTTTTCGAAATTGAGGAATTTTATACAGAATTTTTTGTTCAATTGAATTTATTGTATCAGAGCCAATGAATTTGCATGAAGTAGAATGTAAATATTCGCCATAAATTTTCAACCGCACAAAAGTTTTTGAGTACGGAATCTCAGTTATTCGCACAATAAAATCCCTCCCCCCCACAATTATGTTGGGAAAATGAACAAATGCAATTCGTTGGAAGGATTAAATTCATTTAGAAAATCTTCAAAACAGTAGTTGCGTTATAGTCATACATAAGTTTCGCAAGTCAATCATATATAGCTTGACATATGTTATATATAGATCCCACCTCTTTCACTTTTTTCGCTATAAATGAGTTGAATATAAGTAACTAGACGTAAACTTTCACAGCTGAGGTTGTCATATATAAGCTACACTGATAAAATTCGACACATTTTTATTGGCGAATTTCCATGTAAAATTCCACATGATTTTCATGTGTCCACACATAAACAGAATGCACTCATAAGTACACATGAAATGTATGAGTTAAATGAATAGTATGTGTGGTTACACATGAATTGTATGTGTACACATAAGAACTATGTGTCCGACACATATTTATCATTTGTTTACCACATTGCAAAAAATCATGTGTGGGACCCATAAAAATAATCATTGAATTTTTACTAGTGTATGTAAACCAGCTTATGACAAACTGAGTCGCTTGGGATGCCTCCAAAACCCGAATTATCATGTTCCTGCACAGGCAATCGCCCAAACTGATACCGGCACCTTCTTGCACAGTAGTCATGGACGGCACAAGGGTTCAGTGGTCTGCTGAAGCTGCGTACTTTGGAATGGTATTCGATGAGAAGCTCCTGTTCCGGTAGCATAAAGAAAAGACGTTAGATAAGTGTTCAAGCTTAGTTAGGTTTTTGTATCGCCTTATTTGTCACGACCGATTCTCTAGGGTTAAAAAACTGGCTGTCTACAATCAAATCACAGCACCTGCAATTTTCTACGCTGCACCGTTGTGGGAATCAAGTGCTCAAACTCAAAGGAACAACGTCCAGGTGGCACAAAACAGAGTGCTTAGGATGACCCTCGATCGTCCTTTCGACACTAGAATAACAAATTTACACGAAGAGGCAGGCATTCCCAAAAGAAATTCCAAAATGAACGAAATTAAGACTAAAATTTCCAATTTAAAACAAATCAATCCCACCAAGGTGGTCATTCTTTAAAACAGGCCTGATAGGACTAGGAACTTTACACAATAATTAAAAAATTCAAATGAACTAAAGTTGAAAAGACGCATCTGTGTCACTTGATAATTCATGCATGTTAAACCACACACATACAAGAAATAGATCTTTTAAGTAAAAGAAAAAGTCAAACAGTGTTGTGCATTAAACAATTACTTGTAGAAAATCTAGTCCAAAAAAAAAAGGTCTGTAATAAAATACATAAAAATAATCCTTACATTCATTCCATCCACTTGCTCCGATGAATCATCTGCGCTCCTGCATCAGTCTCCGCAGTCTGCCTGCAGCGACCGGTTGGATAGTAGGCAAATTTTCCACACGTTGTCAGTTTTTCCTCCACCTTCATATTCACCTTTCCGAACCGAAAACTAAATCTTCCTTCTTCTTTTTCTTCTTCTTCGCTGCTCAACGATCCAAACGACTGCGACTCCGATGACGATGGGGTGTCCCCACCACGTTTTATCTCACACCCGCGTGCACCCACCCAATCGCTCTAGATACGAGATCTCTTGAACATCCAACTAGACTTCTGCTTGAAATATGTCTGATCGTTCGCGATATGTGTCTCCGCCCGTCCTCGTCGTTAATGATGACGACGATGATGATGATCTGGCTTCGTCGCTCTCTCTCTCTCTCTCTCAGTTGCACCTCACGCCACTTCTGCTGTCCGACTTTGTGCCGATTATTCAACTCTAGAACTGCAAGATTTATAATTTGTGTACTCTTCTTGGTGGAAAACTGTTTCGCATTCACTCGCGCTCACTGACTCATTTCACGGTTACTTTCGGCTTGACTTTTCCTTGATTCTACCCGCCGTCGTCGCTTCTCTTTGGACACTCTCCTTCCGAAAGGGGTGAACACACTTCTTAGAAGACACTTTGAAGCCACTTTCTACAAATTGACTAAATTTATTTCGGTAATTCTTGGTACGGTACAATTTTCACTTTTGCACAAACTTGACTCTAGCTCGTCCAGTTGGTCACATTTTCACACATCTGGCTAGTGTTTTCCTCCCCCTCGAACCGAAAAAGCAGAGAAAAAAAAAGTCGGCTCGGCAATAGTGCGCTAGTTTTTGGGACAACGAACGTTGAACGCACACTTTTTGTCATTCAAAAATTGAGTACCGTGTCATAAAAACTTATATAATGACGAAATTGGTCGTCGGTTTCCATCGTAACCCACCCGGTTCTTCTGTTTTTCTTTTTCGCAGCCAGCGAGTCGGTAGTAGGTGGCAGTAGAACAATCGGGGAGGAGCAGAGTCTAGGTAGGCGTTGGACCACAAAACTTTGCTCACGTTCGCTTCTCCGCACTCGGCAAACCCCTCGAGATCGCAGTTGGCAGTGACGATCCTCCTCACAAACACACGCAGCAACCCACTTCTTCTTGGGCCCGCACCTTGGCGCACGCACGGGAAAACTTCTCCTTCTTCTTCCACTTCGTTCTTCTGTTGGGATTTTCCTCCAACTCGGCCGTGTCCAATGATCAACGATCGATCGGTCTCAGTTCGGTCAGAACTTGGCCTTTCGCAGGGAAATTCAAACTCGCTACGGGCAGAATACCTCTCGCACTCACCGTGGTTCACTATCGACTGAAGAGGACACCGAATCTTCGCCTCAAGCTACGGACGACACACAATGTCGCGAAAAGTCGAGCACCTCGAGAATATCTCAAATCGGGGAAAAATCTCCCTGTGTATAAAAAATAAAATAAAACACACAGACCCGACGATTTGACAAATCTCTCGCAGAATCTCACAGAAATGGTTTTTCCTTCACCCGGGTTCGAATGGTCGGTCGTCGCGACTTTCCGACTGTGTGTGGGAAAAACTGCGTTTTCACTTGCGATCACTCTGGCGGACGAGTCTAGACTAACGACGGCGGTTGACGCTACTAACCTCAAGAGTGTACGGCAGCGTCGATGAACAGGCACCCAACAGCAGTTTCCAATTCGGTTGCCCCCTGCCATAGTCGGTTTCGCCGGCGGAACGCAACTCACAGAACGAACAAACGCATGATGTAGGACTGCTGGCTGGCTGGCTGCTGCTGATGATGGGAAGAAGCGCGCACTCAGCAGAAACTATCATCCGTTCGAAATAACGGCGACCGACGGCGATGTTTGGTGGATGAGGAAAAACTGCGACTGGTGCTGATGGCTTTCTTCACCACTCTTCCTTGGTTCGTTCACGCGACATAGCGGCGGCATAGTGTTTTGCCGTATGCTTCTTTGGTGACACTCACTGTGTGCGCGCGCTTTCGAGTGGTAGATCGCCAAAGAACATGTGCTCGCCAGGGATGCCAAATGGTGTTTGAAGTAACAAACTACGAACGATATACATTAAAAAAAATAAACATAGTAAGTAGGTTTCTGTCGAAACAAAATTATGGCAATTTACTTTCAAAGCTGTCTGTTTACCATTCCATTGCTATAGGCCAGAAAAAGAAACCTTAGTAGTATAATTACTTTTTATGGGTTCTCAAGGTTGGGCCTCCCTTTGCTCAGTCGGTAAGTGCGCAGCTACAAGGCAGGACCATGCTGGAGGTTCGAAATTTTCAGGTTGGAAAATTTCTTGACTTCCCTGGGCATATATTATGATTTTATTTGCCACACAATTATACTAATGCAAAAATGGTACAGGCATCGAAAGCTCTCCATTCAGGGGAAACATGTCAGAAGGGTCTAGGTCGAAACGTAAACAATGACTTGGATCGTCGGATTCTTACAAATGACAACACACCCACTCAAACTAACTAATTCATCTGACAGAGAAATGTTTGTTCTATGAGCTGGATTAGTCAGATTCCGTGGGTGTGTGGTCATTCAAGAGAAATCGACGTTCAAAGTCATTGTTTACGTTTCGAGTTATACCCTTTTTGACATGTTTCCGCTGAATTAATAACTGAGGAAGTGCATCTAGAACACTAAGTTGAGAGCATGCTTGGCATACACAGTTGTATACACCAACAGCTCATTTGTTCATAACTTTTCACTCAGTTGTTGAGATTTGATTTTCTTTAAAGTAATTGATAGATTAGGATTATAGCTTACTATAGATATGCAAAAAGAAGATAAATCTTAACATTTGAATCATCACCAATGAATTTTTACTCTTAAAGTCCGAGATGTGCAGCGAGCATTTCTCACTTCATTTTTACAACGCAAAAACAAATACAGTTTATTACTAGAATTAAAATCTACTTTGTTTTATGTATGTATAACAAGCTTAAACTTTATTATATCTACTGCTTCAAAAAGAACTATGTTTCGTTAACTTTGTGTAAAGTTATTAGCAAATGAGCAGTTTGTGACCAAAACTGTGTATGCCAAGCATGGTTGAGAGCATACTATAAGGTAATATACGATAAGGAATATGCTTGAAATGCGAAGAAGTAGAAGGTTCATCATCTTTGGGTTGGGTTTCAATTGTATAATTTAAATTTTTCGTCCATGAACTGGTTTACATTATTTTTAACCTAACATGTAAAATCTCTACTTATTTGTTGGTCTGGCCTGCACAGGGATCTTTCAATCTCTCGAGAAAAACCATTTGTCTGATTTCAATGTTGATTTTTTAGAACAGAGCTATTCCCAAAGAACGGGATGAGTGAAATATGTACAGAAAAGTCAACATCAAAGATCACCAGCAGGGGTGCCAGGCAGGCGTGAAAATCATTAACAACTATTTCGTGCATTAATTTACATTCATTTGCCTCTAACTTTTTCCATTATCAGAATTCCGTAAAACGCAGTAGAAGACTTTTGTAGATTTTGATATTATCTACAAGTTTTGCCAAAAACTCAAATCTGTATCACTCATTCATGATGAACTAGAACGTGCAGAATTTGTTATTGTTTTTCAGTGAATGTAATCTACATTCACTGAAAAACAATGGTGGGTTCTGTTCGCTCTGGTTCTTCATGAAGAAGAGCTACAGATTTGTGTTCTCCAAAAAAGTTGTAGCTAATATCAAAACCTACAACTTTTTCGGGATGGTCATGAAATAGATATGAAATTTGAAATTTAAGTAAATGTCATGTTCGAGCAAAACAGACCTGCTTTTAACGAATTGAACCTAATTGGAGTTGGGAATGCATCCATTTACGCCGTATACATTAAAAGCAATTAATAAAACGATAAATTACGATTGCACGACAAATAATGAGGTCGACTCATTGACTGCCTCGTAACGTAGGTAGATCATCTTTTCATGATACATTACGGGGTGTAAGATCTACCACCGATTCCTAGTCCTGACTACTTCAAACTAGGGGAACAAGATTTTTCAGTAATCAAAGGAACACATCTTAGTCCTTGTTACTTTTTATGCCTTGTTGATAGTGACAAGACTCGGCTTTGTCCACCGAGGATGATCTTGAAACAAGGAAAAAATGAGTTAGTTAGTCTTCATTTATGTGATTCCTAATCTTCTATTCGTTGTTCCCTAGGTTGAAGTGGCTAAGACTAGGGTTCTGATCCATGGTCATTATTAGTGTCATTGCTTAATTTTGTTAAGGAATCAAATGTTGACTGACAAAGGGGCGTGCCTTTGGAGGGTGTTCTCACTATTCGAAAGGTATAAATACCGAAACCATTCAATTACAATCGATTCTTTGTGATGAATGCAAGAATGACAACTGAATCAAAACCGAATACTTCATCATTTCTCAATAGTGATGGAGTAATACGATATGCACTAAACTAAGGACACAGGACATAATAGATCAAATTACTGGTCGCAGTGGTTTTAGCCTATCCATATTCCAAAACATGGAGAGAGCAGAGCACAGGTCTGATAATCGCAACGTTCGTGGTTCGAGTTCAGTCGGCAACCTTTTTTATACTTTTTTCGACATGATTCATTTCACTCACCTATACACTCCACATTTTTCTTGCAATGGACCGCAGCTCAGTGTATCTCATCCTGCATTCATGAGGTCTCCACTAACATCCTGCGATGCTGAATCCGACATAATTGTAAGCCAATCTTACATCCTTCGGTTGGGTGTAGAATTTTTTTTGTGTGCGTTCTCGAAAGCTTTTCAAAGTCTATGATAATTTATATTTCATAGATTTTTTCAAAATATAATGGGCTAAACGGGTCATTAGCATGAATTTTCCAAAGAGATGGAATGGACTTTAAAATTGCAATAGAAATTTTAAATTATTTTTTTTTGAGATCCGGTACAAATTATTGAGATTTCCGAGACTAAAGAAAAATATCAAATTTCAGGACCTTATAAAAGAACAATGTGAACAGAAAGATATTTTTGAGATCCTAGTACCAATATTCAGATGTCAGACTTAGACTTGGAAAATGTTCAAAGTTCCTGGACTTGAAGAAAATATTCATGATCCTGACATTTAGTGGCGAGGAAATTCTCCAAAGGAATTCTGAAGAGTATTCTAAAAAAGTCCTGACTGCAATTTCAATTCATTTTTAAGGAGAATTCAAATGTATTGAGAAGAACTTCAAGCGAAATTGAAGGAATGCTTTCATGGTAATTCCGAAGACCAATTGATTCCTGGTAAATGCTGAGGAGAATTCCAAGGTAGGCCTGGGAAGAATTCCTAGGTATTTCTGAGGAGAATCCAAATGAGGAGAGCTCAAATTAAATTCTG